AATGATAATAATAATATTGAGTTCACATTCATAACAAAATTAGAACCGATTCCAGTAATCCTAGACGAAGTGAAGCCGATTCCGGTAATCGCTCGTCGATTTCGGTAGTATGGAAGAAATCATAGATCACCTTGTTTATTATGTAAAAGCAATTGCAATAAATATTTTCAAATATCATTTGAATTGTTTGTATGGCAAGATATTTTTAAAACGCTGAAATATAACAAAACAAAAAAAAACAGACTAATTCCGGTATTTACCTGTTAATTCAGGCACTGTGATAGTAATTAGTCTATCTTAGACATCTAGTTTATAGTAAAAAAGTGATCTTTATTTCTCAAAAAAATATTCGTATATCAATGATATTATTTGCATTTAATAAAATAACATAAAAATAACTATAGTATACAGGCTGATCCCGCCCATCCTTCCCCTATATCGGCAGTATGACAGTAATTCGCCGATCTTAGGTCTCTTGTTTTATTAATCAAAAGCGAATTTATTTACAAAAATGAATATCGTTGAAAATGTTTATATCTTATAAAAACATGCAAAAGAAATATTAAAAAAAATCACAAATAACCAAATTACAGGTCGATTCCGGTAATCTATCGCCTATTCCGACAGGTTTCCCGTTTTTGCCGATCTTCAATATTAATCTTTTTATTATTTATAACAGCAATTTTTCATAAATCTTTTGCCTCTTATTTAATACCGATTTCAATAAACATTATTAAAAATCTTTTAAATTGTTTGTATTTAATAAAATAAGTCAAGGTTATTTTTTAAACGTTGAAATATTGGTGGGGGAAAACAGACCGATTCCGGTAATTGTCCGATAGCCCTGACACTGCATATAATTATGCGATATGGCAGTAATTCGCCGACCTTAGATCTCTAGTTTATTATTTAATAAGGATTCTTCATTTACAGAAATCTTTTTAGATATCTATTATATTGTTTGCATTTTTTTCTTGCAAAGTCCATAAATTACAATAATACAGGCCGATTCCGGTAATCATTCGGCTATTTCGGCTGTATGACAGTATATGTAACTCGCCGATCTTCGATCTCTTGCTTTATTAACCGAAGGCGAATTGAAATTTACAAAATAAAAGAATGAAAGAAACTTTTAAATATCATTCATAATATTTATATTTTACAAGACGAATATTAACAATGCAACAGAAACGTTAAAAAGTACAATAGACTAAATTATACGTCGATTCCGGTAATCCTTCGTCGATTCCGACAGTATGGCAGTAACTCGCCGATATTAAATGTCTTGTTTAATTAATAAAAAGTGATTTTATTGACAATAATCTGATTACATATCATTGCTATTGTTTATTTAATATCAAGGGTGCAAACATTTTGTTAAAAGTATAAAAAATAAGCAAATTACAGGCCGATTTCGGTAATCCTTTGCCGATTCCGGCAGTTTGCCCGTTTTCGCTGATCATAAATATTTGTTTATTATTATTATTTAAAAGCGATTTTTTTCACAATCTCTAGGAAGATTAATGATAATATTTAGGTTTTATAAAAACATGCAAAAGGAACATTAAAAGTTGCATAAACAACGAAATAACAGGCCGATTCCGGTCACGGGCAGTTTGGCAGTAGCTCGCCGATATTAGATCTCTTGTTAAATTAATCAAAAGCGATTTTATTTATAAAAATCTTTTCATAAATCATTGATATTGTTTATATTTCATAAAATTGCAAGAAAAAACTTAAAAAGTTTAATTATTACAAAGTTACAGGTCGATTCCGGTAATTCACCGCCGATTCCGGTCGATTCCGGTAATTCGGCCGATTCCGGTAAGTCGTGTAACCCGTCAGTAATGGACGCAATTATCAGAGACCAACAACAATTATTTTCGGTGCTTTTTTCATTTTTAAAGGTGCTGAAAATTTAACTTATTGAAACAAAAAAGGATCACTATCACAATTTTCTAACTTTTCCTATTGATTTATTCAAATGCAACCAAAACGCTTTTTTATTTTTTCGCCATCTGGAGAGGACAAAGATCGATATCATTCATACCACAGGGGGCCCACACAGTGTTTGGATGGTATATACTGCTTGATAGTGACCTTAAAATGAGATTTTAGTCATAACCTTATAATATGTATATAAATATAGACAAGGGGCATTACTCGGTAAATAGAGAATTTTCGATCACCTTCAAATTCATGCGAGATTTTCCACTAATTAAATAAAAAAAATCCAAAAACTATACTGCGTTGCATAGCTTATATAATCCACAATTGATAAACACTAACTTTATTTTGATTCCCTTAGCCCATTTTAAGAAATTTATTCAAAACCGTTCACTTCTGTCACAAAATTGCTTAGTCGTACGAGATGTCGCAACACCAAATTCCACGGGTAAAATATCAATTTTAAAAGGGTGAGGTACAAATAAACGCATGCAAACAATAACACAACATAGTTTCTATTACCTACCTGCGCAAATAGTCGTGAAGCGCTCTATATTCGTCTGTTTCGAACGAAATCTTCAAATCAGTGCAGAAATCTGCTTCGGCGAATACATGTTGGAAATTCTGGCCATGGTGTATGGAAACCTTTCATTGGTTGTCGTTATAAACAAAGTTCCTACCGAACCAATGAAAGGTCTCGGTACACCGGCTGGTCACGTGACCGGGGTTTCCCCAAGATGTCTACGTCGAAGCAGATTCTGCTCTGATTTGAAGATTTCGTTCGAAACAGACGAATATAGAGCGCTTCACGACTATTTGCGCAGGTAGGTAATAGAAACTATGTTGTGTTATTGTTTGCATGCGTTTATTTGTACCTCACCCTTTTAAAATTGATATTTTACCCGTGGAATTTGGTGTTGCGACATCTCGTACGACTAAGCAATTTTGTGACAGAAGTGAACGGTTTTGAATAAATTTCTTAAAATGGGCTAAGGGAATCAAAATAAAGTTAGTGTTTATCAATTGTGGATTATATAAGCTATGCAACGCAGTATAGTTTTTGGATTTTTTTTATTTAATTATTGGAAAATCTCGCATGAATTTGAAGGTGATCGAAAATTCTCTATTTACCGAGTAATGCCCCTTGTCTATATTTATATACATATTATAAGGTTATGACTAAAATCTCATTTTAAGGTCACTATCAAGCAGTATATACCATCCAAACACTGTGTGGGCCCCCTGTGATTCATACTTTCTTTATGCCTTGTTCTCATATTTTCGGGGGTTCTCATATTTTCGTGGCGTTATGTCCAGTTGTGAATGACAGCTCGTGCGATTGATTGGACTCTCCAAAAAGCATCAAGTTTTCGCCGACACTTATTTCTATAAATTACTACCATAAGAATTCGTACTAAACATATTAAACACATAAATATAAATCTGTCAATGCCATTTCAATTATAATTACTTCTTTTCTCTTTTTTATACGTTATTTTCAACTACACAGCAACAAAAAAGAACAAAAAACGTATCTTCGCCTTAAGATTCATCACCGGAACTTATACCTTACTTAAACCAATGTCCCGAAATATATTGAGTGCAGTATAGAATTTGTGGGCGCGCATCGTAACTACCGAAACGAGGCCATCCAATCAAAATCCCCGAAAATATGAGACAGCTTCCGAGCGACACAGACTACCGATAGTGAAAGTAGAAAGATTAGTATTTCTTACTGAAATAGTTTATTTTCGTATTTTAAACGGTTCCTTTTTTGTTTGTAATAGTTTTTACTCACTGTTGATGTTTTTTGTCTTCCATTTACTATTAATTTAAAAACGGTGGCTTTAATTTAAAACATTAAACCCCCGAAAATACGGGTCAACGGCATATGCCCTTTTCTCATACATTCGTGCCTCTTAAGCGGTAAATCAGCGCATGCGCAGTAAATGTTTATTACATGAAAGTAATTTTTGGTCAATCATGTATACTCAACTCTCATTTTTGTTATTTTAATTCAATAAACATGAAAAACAATTATCTATTTTTAGTATCTTACCTTTTTATGACGACCTTGACCATCTGAATCTATCAAACGCTTTCTCATACATTTCGTGCTTTTTGATTGGTCCTCCGTGTTACGGTGTATTATTTAACCCCAAGGTCAGTATACTAAGTTCAATTAAAAAAGTGTCCATTTACTGGCATATATTCATAAAACTTGTGTCAGTGGTGTGTCTTGCTATAGAACAACAGCCTTTTAAAAATCATATCCATACTAGTGTTTATGAACATTTTTAATGTTGTTTTCTGATTTCTTCTAACAAGGTAAGTAAACTATCAATCAAAATGTTTTCAAATTTCATTTAACAAGGTAAGAAAACTATGTTAATAAAATGTTAACTTTAACAAGGAACATAAACAGTTTATTTCATTATCTATGGACTTTCTATGCTTCACAATGTGGACACAGGAATGTACTGTGTCTCCTCACTACATGGACATTTGTACACAGTGCAAGGTGCACCCAGTGATCACATTTATCACATTGAGCCCAGTTAACTATTTTAAGAAATGGCAAATCTTTTAGCTTTGGTGGTGAGATCTTTTTACAAACACAACATAATTCTTCGTCGTTTACATCAGATTCAATTTCAGAATCTTCTGAAAGGACCTGCCTCATAGAATGATTTGTGTTTCGGACACCACTAGTTGAAGGGACTGGGTTGTGCATTGTTATTGAAATGTCCATATAATTGGACTTATCATTGGATTTATTTTGTTTGCTTTGTTTTGATGTTGTTGCTTCTTTAGTGTTAGTAGTTTTTGTTTTTTCATATTCAACCAATTCTTTATAATATTCATCTTCTGTTATTGCTTGCCCTCCTGCTTTAGGTTTTGTTTTTATAGCCTTTTTCATGCATTCACATTTTTCATTTTTTTCATCATTATTTGTTTGGTTTTCATACTTTTGTTTGAAAAATTCCTCTACAGCATGTTTTCCTTCTTTCAGTGCCTTTGCTTTTTGCAGTGGCTTATTTTCTCTAAAACTTTCACACGGAAGCAACTTTTGCATAGGTACTTCTTCTGGAGAAAGTGGAAATATTCCAGTTTTTCTTGAAACCTGACAATATATTGATTGGAGTCATGGATTTCAAGTAAGCCTTACAAGCCAGCTGGCAGATTTCATATCGAGTGATAGTTTTACCCATGTATTTATTCATATAGATTGCACATTCTGTGTAATAAAATGATTTCAGTGGGCCAAACATGCCAACATCTAGAGGCTGCAGTATACGTGATGTGTGTGCAGGGAGAACAAAAAGTATGATGTTCTGTTCTCTTGCCCATTTGACCAGTGGTTCATTAATGTGAGAGGCATGACCATCATACAGAACTAGTACAGGGTTATCAACACTTAATTGACCTCTCACATGTGGAAGGAAATGGTCTTCAAGATATGTTCTGAAGATGACAGCATTTGACCATCCACTGTCTGACATTGAGTAACCTGTGCCTACTGTAGCTCCTTTCATCAAGTCAGGGTTATATCTTTTTCCTTTAAATACAAAATACGGTGGCAGAGAATTACCAGCTGCATTTGCACAGCCAATCAATGTAGTAGTTGTAGACCTTGGAGAAGTTATAGCTTGTGGTTTACTATTTGTAGGAGCAATTACATTAGGTGGTCTATGGTCTGGTTGTAACCCAGTCTCATCAATGTTATAAATGTTTTGTGGCTTTGTGTGTAGGTTATATTTATTAAAAATAGCAGCAAGGTTTTCATAATACTTCTTAACACATTCAGGTGTGGTGGACCTTGCACGGTTGCTGTCAAGTTTTGATGGTTTCAATGTACTTAATCTGTTACGCCATCTTTTAAGAAAGCCATATAGCCAATTGTTACTAAGTGGTTTATTGGTACTCTTTTTCCCCAGGTCAAATGCTAATTCACCAGCAGCATGCTGTAGCTGAGTATTACTATATCCATACCCAAGCTCAGCCATGGTCTCAACATGTTCAACAAGGGTCAGTTCCTCATCATCTCTAAAACAAGTTTCCTTTGTTTTCTTAAAATGAACAGGGTCAATGTAACCTTTAACTCTGTCTCTCAAAGTTTGTACTGGTATCCCAAACTGTAGAGCTGCTCTCTTAACAGCTACACCTTGATCTTTAACAGCCTTGTAAGCATTTAATAATGATTCTGCTGAATAGGCTCTGTATTTCTTCTGCCAATGTCTAGGAGAAGTCTGGAATTATGACAATTATTTTATGCTAAAACATGTTCAGATTAGGAATGATACTGCAGGAAAACCTAATAGAGTATCTGACCTATAGATGCAATATAGTAACATTTGACCTAAATATTTTGATTCTAGAAGCCTTAATTTATATGCTTATTTTGTTTCTGTGTGTGTAGATATAAATTAATTTGCTCCCTAGAACAAAAGGATGCACAACACAAAGATATAATTAAACAAATTGCAAATGTTAATTGAATGTTAATTGGTCATTATTTTTTGTCGTGTCACTTTTTAAGAATAGTATATAATGATAAATCTAACACGGAGCAAAGGAAATTTCGTCACGTGACATTAAAAAAATGGACGCCGGCAAATATGAAACAGGAAAATTTTACGAAAAAGTTGGATTTTTTGCAAATTATGAATAAAAGTGAGTGTTTTTTTTGTGTTAAATAGCAGAAGTAACAATGTTTGGATACGATTTAGCAATATATTCATGGATTAATACCTGTTTTTTTCTCATTTTCTGTTGATGAGTGCTAGCCTGCAAGTTGTCAAAACAGTTGCATAGTAATCGGATACGCACGCGATGCGCACGAGCGTATTTTCTGTAAGCACGAAATGTATGAGAAGGCACGAATGAATGAGAAATGGGCATACTGTTTTATTGTACTTTTCTGTACAGTAGCCAACATGGTGATTAATATTTAAAAGGCAAACATTCAAAGACAATTACTGTTTCTTGGTTAAAATCCTGGCATAAAGTCATAAAATATCATATGCATTTTGGACTTTTGATCTATGATATGATTTTCGTCCTCAAAATTACGAAACAACTTGGTACGAAACGAGTATCAACAGAATCAAAAATAATATGCAAGACGTCAGATTGTTCAAGAGCCATATAAGCACATTGTTAAAACATCTCTACTAATAAAATACCGTCTCAATTTCGACAACTAAATCCAAACTTCTGTCTTCAGCAGAAACAAAAAATATCACGAAGCCAACAGCGGCGTCCCTCATTTATTTTCCCAAATTCAAATAGTATATGGTTACAGATCACATTTACCCTAGATGCAAAAACAAATATAACATTTTCTTTCCTCTTATAATTCCAATTTGGAGTATTTACCAAGATCTTTGGGCAATAAAGATGATTTGAATTCCTACTGTTTACATCGCTCGTTTCAAAATGGCGTCTCTACCCTTTCCCGCTCAAACAATTTGCATTAATGACCATGCGAATTAAAACATAGTCCAAATATCTATAAGGAACCAATCAAAATATTTTGCAACACATTATCTCGTATAACCTGATTTTTGGTCAAGATACCTTTATTTATTTATAAAATAAATATTTTCATATGTTTTTAAATTTTTTAATTCTACTTAAATGGTTATTTCACGCCCCAGACTTTTTAGCGGAGTAATTTCGAATAACTGGGTCATGTCTGTGACAAAATTCAATGGCGCGTGAACACGTAATTAACAGGTGCTTTAGGTCGTAATCATATTGAATAGATGTCAAAGTTGCACAAACTTTAACTTCTAATAATATAAGTCAGCACGTGCTGAATTATAGACATATTGCATCATATTCCAAAACTGACAGAAGGGTATGCCCCTGAAACTATGACGCATCAGTTTGCTTGTCACGTTGACAGTAAAAATGGCGATGTCAGAGTAACACACTCGAATTCCATTGCTCAACATGTGATGCAAAAATATTTGTGGAATTTAAAAGGATCAATGATAAATTCCTGACACATCATTGCATCTAGTTTTATCCTTGATTGTGATAAACATGGATAATGATGAAACTAAGGAGGAATCGACCTGCGAGGAAGAAAATGACCAAAACCTTGGTGAGCATGATACTGTCACGAAACGTCATTTACACTGTCACATGACTCATAATGTTTGTAAACTTTTGAACGCCCTAATCATTCAGATTATTCTGTTCACTGTTGCAGACATTTTAGAATTAAACTATTGTGTTGTTTTTAGGGTAATTGACAAGGATACTTTATAACTCCAAAAGCATTGTCTTTAGCTGAACCCCATCACTCGGGCTTCAGACCATCAGGTCTTTATAACAAAACCAATAGAAGATGAATGTCATTTTCGAGTTTTCCTTCTAAAATAAAACGGAATGTATGAATGACAGAACGATTACCCAGTATTTCATACTGTTATGAATCTTGAAGATGCATGTCATTTTAAAATATCATGGGTGTGGCATGTTCATATAGATTACTGTAATACATGAAATATTAAGATGAGAAATATAGAATAAGTACTTATCCTTGTCCCTCAAATAATGTCAGCCCTTTACAAACTAAGCGCGGGCCAGCTCAGTCCACTTCTATACTTAGACTATAATTATTTGTTTTGCATTTACTCAATACCCTAATTACATACAGTAGTATAGTTATAAATATATATATTTTTATAAATAAACATCTTTAATAAAACTGATGAATTATCTTACTTTTGTATTTGGAAAATATGAAATATTAGGTAGGACTAGTAGAAGGTAAACAGCATAGTTTTTTTGTAGTTGAGCTTATTTTTCACACAGATTTCATTACATCCCAGTTGCTTGTTTGTTTTTTCTTAATATTTTTTTGACATCAGTTTTTTTTTACTTTTTAGAGTACAGTAATTTTAACTGTAGAAAAAATGGATATATGAGTGTTGAATAAAGATACATAGTCCAAAGTTAACTAGATATATAATTTTTCCTTTTTCTTGCTGCTTTTGTATCCGAAATTAAAGTTTATCCGAAATCCCATACAATGTCATAAGTAAAAATGGTGATTTTTATGCAGTACTACCGCCATTTGAATGAATTTTTCAAGTAAATTCTTGCAAAGACTTAAGGTAAAAATGGATTAGTTAATAAGAACTGTGATTTCACCAATGAGATCATGAATGAATATATACAATTACATGGACAAATACATTTTAAATTGTCTGTTGCTTAAATCGAAATTCTCCCAGATGAGACATGCATCAATCAGAATGTTCAGTGGTTTGACAGACCAGCTGCTTGGCACCACTAATGTGGAGGCCTGAAATTTTAGAAAAACATAATAATGATATGAAAGCAAGAGCAATCAAGTCAGATTTTTCTTTGTTAATTTATGTATTAAGTTAACAGTTATAGTCATAACTTTGAAAAAGGATCTGGAAAACCAAATAATTATAAAGTGTTCATTTTGAACTAGCTGGTTCATTCAAGTTAGATAAATTAGATTTCTAATAGTAGATTAAATGAATGTTATTGAATAAAGGTACAATGTAGATGTTTCTGAGGGATCACTTTGTTTCCAGATTTTTATGCTTCACAACAGCAGGTGTCAAGTGCCGTGTGGCAGCCGTAAAAAGTTGATTTGTACTTCACTTCAGTATTGTTATATTTTTCTGGTCCTTAGGGATCATTGATGCCAGCACTATTAAGTATTAAGTGTTCAACTGTTGAGAATTGAGTACTGCTCAAGCTGGTGCTAGGGGGAGTGAGGGATGTTGCACTTAATCATTATCCCTCATGAACAGACTCAATCAAACCAAGTCTGCAATTTTCATGTATTAATTTTGTTGTGATTAATGCTTCCGAGGGATCACTTTGTTTCCAGATCTTTAAAAACTTTTAATTTAAAAGGTTGATGTTAAGATATTTGGAATATTATGTCTAGTGCTCTAGATATGAATCAAAGTACTGGTAGCTTCTAAACTGGTTTATGTCTTATCTGTCCCATTTTAATATCCTCTTTTCTAACGTTATATTTTAACATAACGCTTTTTTAAAAGGAAGGAATGTAATTTTATCCTATTTCTAAGCTTTCTTTAGCAAAAGCTTGCCATGAGTAGTGATATATATAAATCATGTAACTGATTCTTTGTGCCTATTGAAATACTCTTCTGATGCAATTCCCATTGAATTGCCTATCACAATAGTGATCAGAAGTCCAGCTCCTAGTAGCCACATATAAATGTATTATAAAACATACATACAAAAGTATAATACATATATATACCTTATATTTCTACTTTAAATTTTATGTAATTCTTTCTTTGATGTATACGGATCAGCCTGTTATAGTCATCAGACTCATGTAGTCGGACCAGGCTCTTTGCTCAGCTTTAAATTTTTATCTTGATATCCCCCAAAATTTGGTAATTGGCAGGTCCAAAAATGGAAACTAGGGTTTGGCAAGTCCATTTAAGAAAATTTAGCCGATTAAAGGTAGAATTGATATGGAAGGATAAAGGTTCTAAATGCTATTAAAATGATATAAAGATATGCAAACAATAATATACTTTTTGCAGGCCTGCTTTTTGTATTATTAAGAATGCCTCATTTGTTCAGTTCATAAAACCAACACAGTTTATGAATACATGTTAAGACTAAAGCTTTAATAAGGTTCTTCTGTTGATATGATAAATAACATCTTAGTTTCTTTATTGTGGATCTTTATTTTGTTCTGTTCTGTATATATTATATTCCCTAAAGTTTATTCTTACTGTAAACTTCTTGATTGACATGAAAATGTTTGCAGAAGGTGATTAATGGGCACAATCATGTAAATTTCAATATTGATCTGATAGTTGTTTTTAGATATAAAAAAAAAAAGTTTTAGATGACAGAATTCCATATTTTGTTTACAAGGTTAAAGTTTGACTGCAGTTTAACAGGACAATGGTTGATCCAAGGTTACAAGTTGGTTTGTTTTTGTTACCAGTGGCATGACAGGAATGCTGTGGTTTATTTTGTCTGATAAGATTTCTTTCTCAGTTCCGTGTACTTGTTCAACTTTCACTCCAGTGTTCAGTGTCATACTTCTCCGTGGACAATTCACTGTCTGAATTTATATTATGTCATAGAGAATGAAGTTTTATTACTATTTAAAAATAGAAATACCTTTTCAATAAAGGACAAAGGAAACTAGTTTAGAGGTTGCTGCATGTGTTTTATAGAGACAAGAGTTGTGATTTTAAAACAAAATAACCTCTTTGTTTTCTTTCTTTCAAAAATCAAACATAATTTTGACTTGTAATCCCTTGAAATCTTCAGAATATGCATTCACTCATTCAGTGTACCCTTGTCACATTTGCATTCCCCATGGTAAAAAATCTAATTCAAATGAGCCTTTAACATAAATTATCATTATTTTTTGGTTACAAGTACATTTATTTACCAATCTTCTTGTTAAGTGCATGTTAGGTGTTTACTCAATGAAATGGGATAATGTTAATTGTATATCTAAGAATTCCGAAATAATTATAAAAAATTTTAAGTGGTAAACTTATCAATTTTAATGTCCCCATAATTATTGGAAGAGTTGTTTCATTGAGTGTCACTATAATGTTATGCTTCTATTTTGAATATGGTATTTAATTGTTTAACCAAAGATTGATTCTTAGACAATATAGCACCTTGTCACTTTGGTGCATACAGGTACTATGGAAGTATTTTTTTTGCAGAATTTAAATTACAATTTTTTGCTGTAGATATATAGCTTCATAGTTTATACACTTAAAGCAAGTGCCTGTTTTACAGAGGCCCTCTCTTTAACCATTACCTTGCCCCTACTTATTTAGCTAGTGCAGACCAATATCAGCTAGCTCGATCATTATATCACTGAGATCAGTTTATAGATCAGTGCTTTCTGAACGTTTGTGCTGTCTGATTATAGTCTGTACTGTATACTATCCAGTCAGTACTTGTTTTTGAAATTTTACCTGAAAATATTGAATGGGATTGTCCACATTGAAAAATATGTCTATTTTTAAATATTTAGCATGGTATTAAGGGTTAAATTTGTCAGTACTGTTTTCAAGCTGACTGCCATTATAATACAGTACCCCCCATTTAATATTTAGTACTGGTATATGGTATTACTTATCTCAGAGCTAAAAGGTTTCAAGGTCAAATTAAATGCCTGATGCAATCTTCACAATAAGTCAAGTAAACAGGTCATGTAGAGAGCTATAGATAATATACGTGTCCCTTACTATTTATAAACATGATGATAGAAAGCAGTGCATAGTAGTAAAAAAAAGAAGAAAATTTATGCAAATAAATTGCTGAATCGGCCATTTAATGTACATCATTGTTAACCACATGTTATATTACCAATAA